GTATTTAATTGGGTGTTTGTGTCTGTTAGCCTCCGTGTTTCTGATTGTATACGCGCACACGTGTGTTCATGTGTGTACGTGTTCGTGAGGTTGTGTGGATTATGAGTCACCTAATGGTGTGGCTGAGAGCCTTATCGCAACCCCACAGACACACACACACAAACACACCTACACGCTGCCTTGGCAAGTCCAGTGCATGCACTCGAACACACTGAACCTGACACGCACACACAATCACAAACACTCGCTCCTCTACTCACACACTGACGCAATTTCCCTTTTTATATAGATCATCTACACACATACACACATTATAAACCAAATTCACAGCCAGCTGGACTGAGGCTACAGGGTGGGTTTTTGCTTGTTGCCGTAACGATGGCTGATGTGATAAGACCTTCTTCCTCGGCGCCACACTCCAGGGGACCGCAGGGAAGACGTAACCATGGCAACGGCCGGCCCGAGGTGTCACGCTATAATTGGGCCACGGCTGCACTTCCTGTGTGCCTTCAGTCAGGGGGATCGCAGAGGGACTGTGTGTGTGTGTGCGCATCTGTGGGGGTGTGGGGAATGTGTATGTGTGTGCGTGTTTGTCAGGCAGGGAGACAGGGAGAGAGAAAGCACAGCACGTCAGCCAACGCAGGACACTGCCAACTCATGGAGAAAAGCAGTGAGCTCCAACATCATGCTAGTGCAATGCTCCCACTGAATGAGAAACACACAGTCTTTTAGTTAAAGTCCACAGTCTAGTGTTTCTTCATCTCCCAGACAAAGGGGGAATTTCAAATTCTTGGATCTGCAGCTTTTTTTTTTTCTCCCCCCGTCTCTTCGGTGCCTTTCTAGTGATTTGGAGCTTAATCCCCCCTCCCTGTTTTCGTCATGCATGCACACACACACACACGCACACACACACACACACACCGGAAATCTGTGTCACCCGCTGCCCAGCAGGTCCAGTGACTCCCTGAACGCCTGCAGTCTGGCTCCACTGGCCTGCAAGATGGCAGGAGAGAAAGGGAGGAGGGGTGGGGGGTGGAGGGGCAGGAGGAGGGATTGAACGGAGGACAGAGAAGAGGAGGGGGGGTGGTTGGGAGAGAGAGTTGGGGGAGTGGGGGAGGAGGAGGAGGAGGGGTGGAAAGCGGATCTAGGGAGAGGGTGAAGGGGGAAGAAAGAGACATAGTGAAGGGCAGAGAGGGAGAAGGGAGGAGGGGTGGGTAAGAGAGAGTGGGTGAAACTGGGAGAGATGAAAAGCAGCCCACAGGGGGAGAGAAAAGAGACAGAGGGAGATATGCAGGGAGGAGGACGTGGAGATGGACAGCAGGGGATGAAGATAACGTAGGCCAGACAAAGAGAGAAGGCGAGATGAGTGTGAGATCCGGGAGCGAGCGGAGTGATGGAGGCCGAATGAAATGCAGTGAGACGCAGGGAGACCGGGGTTAATGACGGATGCATTGTCCAGATAGCCGGTGTGTGCCGTCACAGACCCCTGTGGAGCTTACATATGTTAGCACCGGTGGCCCTGCCCACTCTGGAGAAAAACTGCTCTCACACACACTGCAGTGGAACAAACCTGCCAGCCCAAGGCAACCTGCACTGGAGCTGGGCGGACCCTCACTCATGAGCCAGACCTTTGAAATTTTGGCCACTGCGTCTGCTTGGAGACACTGTGTCTCATTGTGAATTTTTTTCTTCCTCCACTGGCTGTATCCCCAGTGTTTGAAAATGTGTAACAGCTTTGCAGAAACAGCATCTTTCTGAGATCACTCCTCATTACGCCTCTGTTATTCATTTGTGTTCACTTTCATACACATGGCAAACATGTTCCTCCAAACAGAAATACAATGGTTTCTCACATCCTTGAAAAGCTCAGGCTCATCTGCCCTCAGGTTGTATTTTGGTGACACAGGGGTCAAAGGGGACTCTTGACCTTTGACCCTTAAAGCTGTTAAAGGTGGTTTCAGGATAGACCAAACTCTATAAACAGCACTCTATTTCTGGTTTGGTCTTTTATGAAAAACAAGCACAAAGGCTGTTAAAAAGCATTAAAATTAAACATGTAACTCCCACATTTTGGTCCCTGTGAAATTAAAAACTTTCCTGGGCTGCTATCAGTCTAAACCCAAACATACCCATAAAATCGGGTACAAAAGAAAATTAGCTCTCAAAACATCCTGACGTTTTGGTCCTCAAGCGGGTTCACACAGTGTTCGTTTCGGAGGTAATGTGTACACAATATTCTGTTAATCTTTAGCTTGCTGCTGATTTCAAAAAAAGCACTGTGGTTCCAGGAAGTTAGGCAAAGCATGGTGATAAAGTCTGCCTGCAGTGATATTTCATCACAGCCTCTTTTCACGCCACCTCATGATGTGGAATTGATTGTTGCTATTGAGCACTGAGCTAGAATTTGCTTGCAATGTTTAATTTGCTTGATTCCTACCTTCTAATCAGAGCAGCTCATTGTGACCAGAGCTGTAGTGTCAGTTGCATGAGGTCTTTAACTTTGATTCTTAAGGTACTGCCTATGAATTTCAATATTCAACTAAATGATTGATGAATGAAACAAATAATAATCAATTATACTGAATTGCAGCAATAACTAGCTCACCTTTTGAGTCACACAATATTAATTTGCCTCATAATCTCAAATACTGGAACACTTGGAATGACCTGACTCATATTTCAGGCTATTAAGAAAAAGCTTCAATGTAGCATTTTCATTTAATCTCCACTGGTCCCAACACAGCTACAGATTCGTAATGGCTCAAACTGGGATGTGTCCAATCCCATCTCAGTGTGTAACTGTTTTGTGTTAAGGAAACATGACTAAGAGTCAACGGCCATGCAAGCTGCTCTGTGAGGCTGTACTTACATACAGCGGTGCTTTGAGCCAAATGCTAACGTCAGCATGCTAACATGCTCACAGTGACAGCGCTTATGTGCTGATGTTACACCAGTATAATGTTTGAATTGGTTACCATCTTAGTTTACTGTCTTAGCATGCTATCAGTTGATAACTCACATTAAACAAGTACAGCTCTGGCTAATGTCATTCATTTTGCAGTTATTTATTCATAAACCAAAGCACTGAACTAATTGAAAATTTGACCTCATAATGGCACCAGATAAAACGTATTGGGAACACCAGTGATTACAATTCATCCTTTGGGCGACATGAATGGCTGGACCAAATTTCAAAATAGTTTAACCAGCAGTTGCTGAGATATTTCAGTCTGGACCAAAGTGGTGGACCGTCAGGCCAACATTGCCATCCGTAGAGCCACATCGCTTGCACGGCTAAAAGTGGAAATTTTTTACCAACTTAATACTGATCTGTAGATATATTACTGTATTTTCATCTAATTGGTCTAAAATGTTGTAACATCTGTTTCTTATGTTTTGGTTTAGTTCCCAGGTGTTTCAAAGGGGAACTCGGGGAACCAATTTCACACATAAATGTCACTGGTCATGAGTTTTCAGCCTCTGGACACATTTGCATGTCTTTTGTGTCTCTGGAGGAGTTATGTCAACCATGATGGTCATCAAGACAGTAGGATTTTAAAAGAGAGCCTGCATTACACACTGAATTTTGAAAGACATGGGCATTTACTGGAGACAGGATGCAAACATATTTATTGCATTCTGGGAAATGTAGGATTCAGTGTTTGTGGAGCCCTGACCCATACTAGGGACTAAAAGTCAGGATATCTTGGCCTCTGTTTCGTTCTTGACCATTCTTTGTTATTGTGTTTAGGAAAAAAATAACAATCACATGGTTACACTTAGGTTAGTCATGTTTTTACTTTCTTTTCTGTAAACACTGGTGAAGGCCAAAACGGTGTGCAACCTCTTTCTACATATCAGACAGTATCAGTGTATTAAAGTATTACTTTTCTGTGAGATGAGGCTTAGGATATAAAATATTTTAAATACAAAATATTGAAATGTGAAAGGGTTTATAATTTAAGTTTTATTCATTTGTCTAATATATTATTCAATATATATATATTATAATATATTATTAAATTCAGAAGTTTACTACTCTGTACACCTTTTTACCAAAAAGTTGAATTCTCTGCTCACATTAACAGTTAAGTTAAGTTTTTAAAAATTTTTTTACCAACACCGAGGTTATAAATTAAAAAACCGTTGGCCTTTAGCGCCAAATCTTATGATGCCACTGCTGAGGTGTTGTTATACATTAAGTACAGAGCTGCTAACTGACTGTCTGATCTCCTGACTCATTATATCTCTTCACAATGACTTCATTCAGAAAAGGAGATAAGAGATGTTTTATTGGTCTCAGATCTACAGTATGTTGTTATAATCTCCTTACTAACATACAGGCTGTTAGTCTGAAGAGCACACATGACACTTGTGCTTCTCGTGTCCTAATATCACCTTCCAGCCTGGACAGAAAATAATCAGGAGCACCAGTAGACTATTAACACCTACAGTAGATAGAAACATTACAAGTCATTCACATGCGCTTCCTTATGGGACAAAGATGAGCACACTCCTACAATGCTTTGCTGGGAAACCCAACACTGGCCTACTATATATAGCAGGGCTTTTCACACTGTGCATGAGTGCTCGTGTCAAGTCACATGATTCAAGATATATGGGGGGGATACACACACACAGACACACATGCTCTGCCTTCACATACAGAAGCACACACACAGTCAGGGCTGAGGCGGTGGGGGGAATGTTTTATTGAGTTGACTCTGACGCGTTGCTTCCCATGACCTGGCTCTGTCTCTCCGAGTGTCTCGCCCCCTGTCTCAGTATAAACCACATGCTAATCAGCTTTCTGTGCTCTCTGTTTGATCTCTGATGGGCTGTTTTGTGACGCATCCCGCTGAATAGATAATCATTGTGTAAGTGACCGGCATCAACAACTTCTCTGTGTCTTCCCCTATCAGCAACCCCCCCATAAGGAATGCATGCTGTAACCATGTGAACAGACCCGACTGTGTTAGATGCAAAAAAGCAAGATCAAATCAGTGTTTTAGTTGCGTTCATTTTTGCTTTTTCCACACCAAGAAAATAAATTTTAGGCAAATACACAATACAAATAGGAAAGATGAAACAAACAATAAGTCAAAGTGTCAGCAGAAGCGAAGTTTTAGCAGGGAATTAGTGACCAAGTACAGGGAATATGTGATAGTTAAAAGTTAGGTAGTAACTACAGCTCAAAACACTCCAACCTTAAAAATGAAGTACAGTTAATCTCTCATGGCAACACATGTTCTTACAAGAACGAGCTGCTGTTTTTCTACAGTTTCCTGCATCTGACGTCCCTTTAGAGCTACAGTGCAGTATGTGAATATTTGTCCAGGGACACCTTTTTCATTCTTTTACAATAGGTCTGCACTCTTGGACACCAGGATCGAAATGAAACAATAAGGTTAAAGTGCTGACTCAAAGCTGTAGGAGTGTGTGAAGGTGTTCAAATGCTTGTTGGCTGAACACCATGGAGCGCTTTTCATACACAGGCCCTCAGTTTTTAAGATAATGCCGTCATCCTAAACATAGCAGATTATAAGGTCCAAAAAGTGTCATTTTCTTGCCTAGCCAAGTCTGTCACCTGACCACGCGCTGTCTGACCTCAGTCCAACTGATCTGAACTTAACTGATGTTTCACTAACTGAAAGCACAAAGGTCCCAAAACAAGCAAGATGCGAAGCTGTTAAGTGTTGATGTCACTGGGTCGTAGGATTTGCAGCCCAAAATTACATTTGATGTTTAACGTAAAATATCATCACAAGGTGCACTTGATTTCCACAGCTTGCAGCCACGTACTGTGGTATCAGTTCTCAAGAAGATGGTTTACTTGTTATCATGTGACCTTATCAGATATGGATTTTCAGTCACATGACAACAGATGTCTATGAAGATTCCTTCGTTGAGATGACAACAGATGTGAGATGTGGCTGAAAAACAATCTAAGTGGACCTTGTGATGAGCTTTTTTTTTGTTAAACTGCTATTTATTAAGGCCAATTAAATAAAATTACTATTATTAAAATTTATCTGTCAAATTACTTTTGGTCCACTAAAATCAGAGCGCTTAGTATATCAAGACTGAGAATCTACAGCCATGCTTTGAGCTAAATGCTAAGATTGCTAACATGGTCACAATGCCAGTGCTAATGCGATAGAATGCTAATATTTGGTCATTAGCACTAAACAAAAATGTTACTGAAGCCGGTGGGAATGTCATTAGGTGCTTTGTCAAAAAACAAAATATTGGACCAGATGGTGGCTCTAGAGCAATAGTCAAGGGATCACCAAAGTGTAACATGAACAAGTAGTTTAGATATTTGGGTCCAAAGAATAAATATAATAGATAATAAAAAAAGCTACAATTCCTCAGTTCCTGTGGATGTAAACACTGTCAGTGTTAAGATATGAGTCAGATATTCTCTGTCCAGATACTGCACTGTGGGTTCAATTCTGTGATCCCCCACAGTCTTGGCAAATCATGGTTGTAGTTGTGACATCATTCTATCCTGTTCACTCATTCACATATAAAAAGGCACTCCTTATGTAGAAAGTAGACTATTAAAGGTGTGGCTCAAGGGTCTAGAGACACATATGTAAACAGTAAGCTCAGGTGATGCAGCTGCTTTTAAAAGTCACTATAGATACAGTCTGTTTATCATTTACCACAAATTCAATCGTTTTATTTTATCCCCCCAAACCCCCCGGCACCATTGTGACTATAGATGATACGCTGAATGAAGAGGTTGTCAATGCAGATGAAAGGCAGTGGTGTTAAAACAGTACAGTGACAAAGTTACATGGACTACATTTAAAACAGTTTAAACCTTTTGAAGAGTACAAAGGGACCCGAGTATAATTTTTATCAAATAAATCTTTCACTTCCCAATAACCTCTGCTTATGACATGTGAATAATAAAACTTCATTAACACCGATTTAACAGGTGAACCGCAGTGGGGTTTTTTACACCTGTAGTCAATAGTCTGTGCGTCTGTGTCTCTCTGGACATCTCTCTCTGCGTCTGCCAGTCAATCACAGAAAGTATGTGAGCGCATTTGAACTCAGCAACATCAAAGCCGCTCCGTTTTATCATTCAGGTTGACTTCAGTTCAAAAGCTTTCAAGTCTTTCTCTCACTCCACCTCCCTCCCAGATGTTTTTTCTGCCTATGGGTCGGCCCTTGAATGGAAGCCTGACGAAGTGTATCTCAGTTCACTGCTCGGTTTCAAGTAAGGATCCTTTTCTTCATATGTGTGTGGCCTCAGCCTGGACCAACAGTGTCTAGCTGAGCCATTATTGTCTGCACGCGGTGCAGCACGCTCTGCCTCTTTGGGGTCAAGTATAGTCTTGCAGCAGGCTGGACACACCGTCAGCCTTAATGGATTAAGGGTGTGCTTCTTTTCTGTAGGTGAACAGGTTTAGCAGGTAAAGGAGGTTTGGAGTAGGCAGATGGTGTGCTGCGGGGATCGTCAGTGAAGGCCTTCCTGAGCTGCGCCACGCGACCTCCATGTTCGGAAACAGTCCCTGGGAAGGGGAGAAAGGCATGTGAATTCACAAAATCTGAGTAATATCACGTCTGCAGGTTTGATTCAGGATCAGTGTTCCCTCTGAGCTGAACGTCTGAAGTCTAATAATTGACTTTATTCAGTATTAATGCCCCTTCAGTTGGCAGCTCACCATAAAGCATCTATATTCTATATAACGTTGCTGTTTTCACTAGCAAAGACAAACAGACCCCCTTTTAAAGCTTTTTGTGACAACACATTGTCCGGATTAGGCCTATACAATGGGATTTTAAATGGTTCACTTATCTTAAAAACCAATGAAGGACATTCAATCTTTCAGGTTATCTGAAAAACTAAACTGAAAATAGAGACCTTGTTGTCACTGGACAACGATGATAAACAGATAGATGACAACAAATCACACACAATGCAAGCAGTGCTGGACACTAACTTGGACCTGCCACTGCATTTATTTCACAGCTATAGTAGTTACTTACTAAGGAGACAAAGATTTCCATAATAATGCATTAGTGATAATAATCCAATAATAAAATAGCAATATAACACTATGAAAAAGGCTGTTCTGTTTAAATAATAAATTTACCATTGTAGTATTTATTATTACTTATTTGTATAGGAGATGTTCAGTAGATGTACATTCATGTACTCTTATTATTTATTTTGGTGTTAAATTCTTTATTCTTTGTTTTTGTTTTTCTTGTAATGGCGAATATTTACAATGTGGTAGTATTTCTACCTTTAGTAGTTAGAGTCAAAAAAAATGAGGATCATAGACATTTATCATCAGCTCTTGTTTTGTCACCTCTGTCCTGTGGGCCGGCCCTCTCTGTGTCTGACAGCTGGGCTTTGAGTGGCGGCTGGTTGCCATTGCTACTAAGATGGGGCCTGTGGAGAGTCCAGTCGCCGTGGTTGTCCGAGCTGCTGCCTGACTCACTGTCGCTGTCCTTCGGGTCGTCATCCGCGCTGCCAGAGTCCATGTCCTCCTCAGATAACTGTCTGTTTGGTGAAGCTGGGCCATCCTGTGGGTGAGGGGGACACAATTTGATGGTCAGACTCTGATACGCTGTCCGTCTCACCCTCCCAACTTCAAACCCACATACAAAACACATGAACTCACATCAACATCTGCGAAGGACAGCTGGACGTCTTCTTTAAAGCCAAGCTGCTGGGCCTCTCTTCCTGGCAGCAAGTCCGCTGTCTGGATGCCATTCATATCATCACTGTGGACTCTGGAAGACAAAGACGTCCATTAGTCCCCCAGAAAGCCGCCCCAACCTTTGAATCAATTCTCCGGCTAGTCATACGGCAGATAACTTCTATAATTGGGAGGAGACGGCCAGCTGACTGAAACTCTTTAGTTCACTGTTCATCTTATCAAAGACATTCAGAGTTATGTAATTTGTTGAAGGGACTAGAGCCTTTATTAAGGTGGGAGAAACCAGTGAGGATGTTCTTATGTGTTCAGAAACATGTGGCACTGGTGGATGAAAAAGGCTGTCAGTCCATCTCTCAAAAAATAAAAAACAAGGCTCTTGTGAAAAATAAATAACAAAAACCTTATTATCCACTGTGTGCAAGAAATTAGTAATTTCAATGTGTTGGGTTCTGCCTGGACATGGTGGAGCAGATGTATTTTATTTAATTAATTAAAACATCAACTACAGTTTGTTCTCTTCAACATGCTGCTGCAAAACAAAGTGGCCGTGTGTTACTTGACTTCTAAAGTAACAAAACAGTGCAGTCTGCTTCTGCACTTCCTTTTTCTATTTATGGCAAAAAGAAACAATCAGTCAATCAGTGATAGCTCACAATGTGAAATTTTAAAATTAGTTCTTTGTGTGTCTACCTGTTGTTCATGAGACTCTGCAGGAGCTTGGAGGACCTGAACTCGTCCACGTCTCCGATTACACTGACGCTCACATCTCCGTCCCTACCGAGCAGCCACCTCACATGTTTATTGAAGGCTGGGGAGGAAAAAGAGAAAAAACAGAAATGGGTAAGCTTACTGGAGATATATTTTGTGCCAGGTACTATTTCTCAGTAAGATTCTTATAAAAACATAATCGCTAAATTGTTATTCTGGCTTTTCTCCAGAAGGTGGTGCTGTCCTATTAAGTATGCAGCAAGGGGAACCTCACAACACCAACAGCATGGAATATGTCCTCTCATACTCTTCCCATATTCCCCATCTGTGCTCTCTCTTTTATTCTTTATTCTGTATTCTCTGTAGTCTCCTTCGCTGTCTTTTCTGCCTTCCCATTGGAGCAAATTAATTGTGTTTCATTGCAAAGTTTTCTTCATGGCGAAATACTGATAAATTAAATGGCATCATTACAAAAGGAAAGGAAAATAGTAAATAACAGTGACCTCATCCCTATAAAGTTTGAATTGAGAGCAGCCAACATCTCGCTGTGCCAACGTTTAGTTTTGTTACACACTGCATCGACTCAATTGAGGAGCAAAACCGTTTTATACTCTCTTAATTTTAGAATTAATAATACCAATGACAATATTTATAATGAATATTATAATAATACATGCTGTAATAATGTAATGCATTATATATTTTGTTCTTTGCATCCTGGAAAACAGGGTATTTTTAGGTGTTACTTCATCATGACACGGTAAGGAGAAATTAACTCATTCCCCAGTGTGTGATAACAAGGTGTTTTCCATGACAGTACCAGATAAAGGTGAAACACCTGCCATGACATCACTAGCTGGGGTGTGGCTTGAAAATTCAAACCCTCAGAGATGCACGGGTTTGGAACTCAATGCAGATTTACCCTTCAAAAGACACCGTAGGCTGAACGAACAGACACTGTAGGAGTCGATAGAAACAATCACCTCCAAACAGTGAACTGACTATTCTGATTTTTTAGAAACCAGCTAACAAAGGCGGCTCTGTTTCTGTTCATATTTCACCCAGTACATAAGTCTGCATTGTGTAGACGTCTCAGTCTGATTTCACCTGACTAAAGAACATCTCTGACATGAGTCTGTCTGTGCAACACACCTTTATGTTCGCACGGTCCCCTGAGTGACAACTGTGATTACAAGACATTGAGGCCAGAACTGATGTTTGTGTCTTTATTGCTCCCACACCTGCAAATTAACCAGAAAAGCAGCACACAATCGGAATCTTTATTCCCAGGTGAGGTAGAAGGTGTGTTTATGTGACATTTATAGGCATGCATGTACACGTAATTATTGCTTTTCCCGGCCACAGCGCAGCGAACAGGGAATGAAAGATTCCTAACTGGAATGTATGTTGTGTAAGGCAAACACGCAGAAAACACACACTCGGTTCCCTCTCAGGTGACATGGCAGAGATTGGGTAAACAAAGACGGTAACTTAATAAGTGGTTTAAAGTGTGGTGACGCCCCATACCACAGGGCTTACTCAATCTTATTCAGCTTTCAGCCCGTACAGCGATTCGAGTGGCGGTGATAGAGGCTATCTGTCACACACTCTCATTGTGCAGCAGAACCAGTGGAGGTGACAGGGTCTGAGTGAGTCAGATAAACACATTAAATGGAGGAAGTGTGGGTGAAAGGAGCAGACGGTCACATGGGTTAGTAACAGAGCAATGAAAAGATTTCTTTGGGTATAATTCAAACACAATAACCTGAGAGGGTGTTACTGCACAGCTTGTTTATTGCGTGCACTCAGAGTTTAGAAGTTTAATTGGTCAACCTTAAAGGGCCTATATGTTTTTTTTTTTATGAAATTGATCATTGGGAAATGTTTGTAACTTCACATTAGAATGAACCACACTCCTGCTTTCTTGATCCCTTGGAAGAGCCACTATGCTGCTTACTATATGAAGAAATCTGGTCGGATTTTCGGCAAAATCCATTGATTTGCGCAGGCTGCGACGTTCATGCTTGCTCAAGAGCCTCTTGCTTACTGATTCTGAACTGTACACACAGAGGCAACAAAATGAAGTCCACTAACACCAAAAAACAACCGCCTCCCAGCACAACACAAACTCCACATAAGGATAAAAAAATAACAAAAAGATTTTATGTGCTGCAGCTCGTCAGGCTAAACAAGAATCAGATCAACGTCAGGCAAAAACACGGTCTACATTGGAAAGGCGTTTGAGTCAGGAGGGAGCTCCGCTTTGTTTTGGACGTAAAAACTGACCCAGAGCTGGTTTTCTTCCTAATGGACAGGTAAACTGAAGCCTAGCGCAGCCGGCATATCGCTATGCTGTTCAGACTACAGGACTTGCTGTCTTGTAACGGGAGTCTTGAAGTCGTTGTGGTGTTCACACTACATGTGCTGACCACCACGTGAAATGTGGCACAGGAAATGATGCAAAACCATGCGCAAAACAGGAGTTGTTTATTATTATACAGATAACATTATAAACACAAAGAATATGGGTAAAAGAATGGATTAGCACACACAGTCAGCAGACTGTCTGTGAGTAAAAAATGTTTTGTAGTGAAAAAGTAGCTACGTCATAGTTCACACATAACGACTGTCGAATGCCGATCTCTCACTGATTTGCCCCCAATCACAGGCCCCATCCACACTACTCCGTTCTAGTTTACAAACGGAGAATTAAAATGAATACGATCTCCATCCACACCAGCGTTTTAGCTGCGTGTCAGAGTTGATCTCCGTCTACATTAAAATGACTGAAAACGCACATATATTGGCACATCTATTCAGGTGCACTGGGCATGCGCGTGTAAACATGAAGCAGATGGTCTATTCCGCAGTTACAGAATATTTGGCGAAAGAATAAAGAAATGCAGACAAAGAATCAAACTAGATTTTTTTTGCATGCACCAATAACGAGCTGGGACTGTTACTGAATATAGCACGGAAAACAGACTGGGAGTCATTGCAAAGTATACGGCGACATGCACGGTAGTCTACAAGTGTAGGCAGATAGGCCTACGGGTTATTTGCATGGTACAGAATATTTTAAGAAAAATACCAACTCAAAAACTCTGTCAGTAGCATTGTGTTTCTGCTTTGCATGGCTATTAAGCCCCAATAAGAGAGCCAAGCATGAGCGTCTGCGTCATCGTTTCTAAAGTCCTCGAAATGCAAAACAAGGTCAGCAGCGTTTCCAAACTTCTTCGTTTTAGGTCTTCGTTTTTGCCCTTTTAGTCTGGACGGGAGGTGCAAATGTAGCAAAAGGTCTCCGTTTTAATTCAAATACGCAGTAGTGTGGATGGGGCCACAGCCAGGAGACTTGCCAATCAGGCAAGTGTGAACTAGGATTGACACGGCTACAAAGCATGTGAAATATATTGTGCTTTTGTACTTTAGTTGGCTCAAGTAAGAAATAATTAGCTTCTTGCTAATGCCGACCAGTTGCAAATGTTCTTGTTGCAAAAAACTATAGTTGCATGGCTTGCCATTAACTTCACCAGCTAACGTGATCCATATTACTGTCCTGTGCACCATTATTTAGCAGATGGCATTGATTGATGACAGCAAGTGGCATTAATCATCATCTCAACAAGAAAGCAAAGGAGTACATTTCCCAACTATTGCTTTAAAGGAGACTTTAAGCGTAATATAATAATAATAATAATCCTTATTTGTAGAGCACTTTTCAAAAACAAGTTACAAAGTGCTTTAACAAGTGTAAAGAATAATACAAAAAAAGATAAGAGCATGAAAATTTTATATAAAATTAGTAAAATACAATAAAATAAAAGGGATAAAATAAAGTCAAATAAGATCGGGAAAAGCTCTCCTATAAAAGTATGTTTTAAGAAGGGACTTAAAAGAGTTCACTGACTCAGCTGACCTGATTTCCTCGGGCAGGCTGTTCCAGAGCCTCGGGGCCCTGACAGCAAACGCTCTGTCCCCTTTAGTTTTCAGTCGAGACTCTGGAACAGACAACAGACCTCTGCCTGAGGATCTCAAGGTACGTGCTGGTGCGTATGGGACTAAAAGGTCAGAAATATAACAAGGCGAGAGGCCATGAAGAGCTTTAAAAGTGATCAATAGAATTTTAAAGTCAATTCTAAAACATACTGTTTTGTCTGAGTTCAGCTGGAGGAAATTATTTGACATCCATTTTTTAACTTCACAAAGGCAGTAATCTTTATGTGCATGTTGAAGAAATATCTGATTCAAGGTACAGATACTTGTAAATGCACTGTGGTCTGTAATTTTGTGAGGAATGTCCCCATGTTAGAGAAGCTAGCAGCTTTAACCTTGTGTCAGTGTAATGTTATTGTTAACTTGAAGGCCACATTTCCCAGAAACCTTGTTCCTTCCTGCTACAAAACCGTGTTGCTACTTTAGTCAGGGTTTCCCTCTTCTCTTGCTTCACTGAAAATCATACTTGTACTGTCTGTCATGGAATGAGACGTGTGTGTTCTCTATGTACTGGTATTTTCCACCAGTGTAACCAGAAAAGCCAGTGTGGCACTCTACCTTTCTTTGGCCGGGTGTTGTTGTCGTCTCTTCCTTCCCTCTCCTCCCTTTCCTGCCGCTCTCTCCAGCGGCGTACCTGCTCCTCTCTCATCTTCAAGAAGAGGATCCTCTTCTGCTCCTCACTGAGGGCCTCCAGCACCTCAGGATCCACCCACATCTCCTCAAGGATTTTTGCCAGCATCCTGTCTCTTTTCCCAGGGTGATAGAAACGGCCGTCAGCCCCTCTGTCTCTCCGTCCAGTGGGTCGTGTTTCAGTGGTGGGGTATGATCGCTCCTTTTTCCTGCTCCAGAGTCAGGTTCCCTTTTCTTTGAAGGATGTGGGATCAGGTGCAGTCTAACTGCTGGTCGTCACTGTAGTGTCCTCTGTCTAGTGTTCTTCCCCGGTGCAGCAGGAGGTGAAGGCACAGTGTGTGTGCATCAACTCTGAGCTCTGAAGGTTGCTGTTGTGTTTTTTAGAGAGAGAGAGAGAGAGAGAGAGAGAGAGAGAGAGAGAGAGATTATATCTATTTTATTGTTTTGTTCCCCTCCATTCAATCCTGTTCTGGCTGGCAGAACACAATAGGCCCTAAGCAAATAAGCCACAATGCCAAATGTAGTGTGTGTGTGTGTGTGTTGCATACAGTAGGCAGCGAGAATGCCGCTGTGTTTTCAAACATTGAAAGGCAAACAGAGGCACGTTCAGTATGTCAACACACACACACACACACACACACATAGGGCGTTAATAACTGCTATCTGGGGGTAACAGACACAGATAGCAACATACACCTATAGTTCACTTGAATTTCTGCATTACCAGTATCTCTCTCTCTCTCTGTCTCACGCACAGACACACACACAACAGGACACACACCACTTTGACTTTATTTAGCACCTTATCAACACACGTGACATGTTATAACTTAGTCAGTAAGTCACAAAACAACCTTGACCTTAAACTGTCAGTAAACACACAGAATAAAGCATTCCCCGCCCTCCACACACATTTGAAAGATGTGAAACAGTGAGTCGCTGAGCAAGAGCCAATAGGGTTTGTGTCTGTAACAACAGTTTAAATGTGTACTTTAGGGTGGTCTAATATTAAAGTAAAGCAGTAGACACTGATAAAAGTTAAATGTCAGTGTTTCGGGTGTGGCAGATGTCAGACCATAGAATAAAGCTAAACCTCACACTAGACCTGCAGTCTATGGTTTCAGCCTAAACTGAGCAGTAAAACCATCATATTCAGCCCCTAACAGCTGATGCAGAACTGAATGCAAATGTTGTGAAAAATGTAAAAAAAAACAAACAAAAAATATATATATATTTAAAGAAATCATTTTGACATTTTGGGAAATGCGGGAATGCAATTGCTTAATTGACAAGAGTTAGAGGAGAAGATTGATGAAAGTCTGACGTCTGCATGATAAATATGAAGATACAGCAGAGAGACAGTTATGTTGGCTTTGCAGAAAGACTGCAAAACAGCTAGCATGGCTCTGTCCTCTACCAGGATGACAAAACCTCACTGAGTAACAGGTTAGATCTTGTGAGTTAAATCCATAAAGCAACCAAAGTGTATAAATGACTGGTAATGGTTTTACTGGGGGTTGTGAACCTTGTCGCCCGTTTCTAGTCTTTATGCGAAGCTAAACTAACCATCTCCTGGCTGTAGCTTCCTTTTTATCATACAGCAATGAGAGTACTATTGATCTTCTCCTCTAACTCTTGGCAATAAGGCGAAGAAGCGTATTTCCCAAAATGTCAAACTATTACTTTAAGAGAGGCAAACCACTGAAGGGGCATCTTTGCTTTAAATAAATATTATAAAGATGCTTACAATGAATTTTATTGTGGTATTAAAAATGCAGCAGCTGATAAATCTCTGAACCAGGCACCAGGCTCTCAATTCACTGTTTGCAATCTTCGTATTTAAGTGGTAAAACATTAGCCAGACTCTTAGCTTACTGTAGTTTGAATTAATTTACTTTTACATTTATAGACAGCAGAATTGCGCTAGGTTACTAGTCTTACAACCAGTGTTCATTCATTCATTGACTTGTACAGTGCTTTTCAAGTCTCTTTCAATAGTTTTTCCAAGTGAGGTTTTTGTGATCCATGTTCTTGTTCACTTCTATTGTCTAAAGATGGAAGGGGATGTTTTCTTCATTCATTGTTTCACAATGTAGGAGTTGTGAAGACTCTGTGATAAAGAGCAATGCAAATACAGTGGACCTAATTTGAAGATTTACATCCAAACAGCCCACTCAGTGGCAAATTGCTCAATTACTCTATAAAAGAATCACACCTCTGAGCAGTATACCTGCATGACAGCTTCTGTAATTAACTGTGCACATTTGAACCCTGGAATTGCAGCACAAAAGAATGACTTAAATCAAGATATAAACATGCCTCGGAAAATGGAAATCACACAAGAGCAAAATGAGAATACAGCAGATCAACATCCATGCACTGTTATTCTAATATAAAGGCATCCAGGTCTGGCTCTGTGCCAACATGCAAATAGGTCCGGGATTTGCTGCTGCCTCCGCTCACATGCAGGGAAAAGAAAGAAAGGCAGGGAGAGGAGAGAAAGTTATGTGCCTGGCATACTGAGAGAAAAGTTTGAAAAGTCTCCCAGTCTGACAAAACACTGGCCATTTCACAGCAACAGAGGAGAGTGTGAGAGATAAATGAACTTAGACGGGCCGTAGAATGGCAATCACAACAAAGACAGACAGGGAAAGAAAGAAAGAAGAGCACAGAGGAGGGAAAGTGGACTTACTCAGTGTTTGCCAGCCGGTAGCATCCCTCAGCACTGGTCTGAGATTCAGAGCCTTTGTGAGTGTGGTATGATGAGTGAATGAGATGTGAGAGTGTGTAAGAGAGTCCCTTTGTGTGTGTTTGTGTGGGATCGTCAGCAGCAGTGGTATGCAGGCTCAGCCCCGTTCTGCTGCATTTGTACTGGATAGGAGTGGGACGGACTGACATCACTTATCTTTTTCTCACCTCCTTCCCCCTTCCTTCTCTCTGCTTCACTTTCTTCTCTTCTCTCATTGACATTCCTACAATGCACAAAAAAATAACACGACAGCCATAGGTTAAATATTATCATAGGTAAAAATGTTTCCCTGTTTATCCATTGCTATAAATATCTTCATAGCTTAATGTTTTTAACTTGCTGCCTTGTGTCATTTAACTGCGGACAATGTGAACTTTATTGATTCTGTAACCTTTCCATATGTAGCAGCAAAGGAAATAGGAGTGTTTCTCTGTCTCTTTCTGAATTGACTGTTTTAATTCTGTCTGACTGACAACCTCTGCGTAGCCTAGCTGCGCATCCCCCCCACCCCTTATTTCTTTTTCTTCCTCCAAGGAAGTCCTGCTGACTTTGTGTGAAACCATTAAACACAGCACCACATGTGCAGGAAGGAATCTGGATATTTTTTCCACAGGTTTTTTTCCGTCAACAGGTTGTTGACACACTTACCATGCCAGCAGTCATTGTGTTGTGTTCACTCCGCCCCACGGTGCCAAATTATACGAGTCCAGTTGGGTGGAGTAAATGTCACATGCCTCTGAGTAATTGTGGCTAAAAACATCAATGTGTATTACATTCATATGTCAATGACAAACCTGTTTCATTGACCTGTCTGGGTGGGTGTGACCTAGTGTGTGAGTAATAATAATATAAAATTACCTATCGTTACCTCTTTTGCCCTGACTAAAAGACTCTTCAGGCTTATTTCTTTATGTGTACCAAGTTAGTGTTTTTTTGGACACTTCCAAGTAAACTATTTGAAAACCATGGGTCACTGAAAAAGAATAGCTAAGTTATGAAGTCAGAAAACTGGGTCAATAAAGTCAGTTAAGCAGTAAAGTAAGCAAACAGTAGCTAACATGAGCCAATGAAAGCTAGTCCTAGCTGTAGGACTGTAGTGGGCCCTGACCGTATTTAATTGGGCAAGCTTGCAATTCATCGCTTTTGAATCTAACTCTTCATGTGTAAGAGTCAATATGTATTCTTTCTTCTTTCAAAATCTACACAGTCACACATTCTCACTATAAAATGGTACGAAAGATTGAGTCATAACTCGTAATGCTAGATATTTAGACAAGCTTTATATTACATATCTGCTACGAAGGTCCATTTTGAACTGTGTAAGAGTGAGTATGATTATAGTACATTGTCTTAAACTGCTCTAATTACGTATATAATAACTAACAAATGCATTATTAAGAAAAGATTAAAAATCATTAAAACGTTGAACAGACTTTTGGTTTCAGTTGGAGTAAAAACAACAAGATGATACAAGTTCAGAATTACCTCAAATGTCCATTACACTTGGAATTACGCCAAATGAAACCAAAGCTGATCAGCCAATACATTTGAGTTTCCAAATAAACCAGTGTTTCAGTGATACCCGACACCCACATGTTTGTCTCGTGGTCTGTCACTGGTATCAGGGCAGAAAGCTCAAGGTCTACACACAGAGACACACGAATACGCACAGATTTGTTCTGCTATTTTTGTGAGGACTATTATTTTTGTTTTTGGAGTTAATTTTGATTCCTTTAGTCAATCATAAGATTAACTCTAAACTTGGCCAACAATCAACCCAATGGTGTAACAATATCCCTCAGTCTTAAATTGGGCAAAGGACATTTTTCACTTACTCTTTTCCTTTTCTCAATATTGGCCTGAAGACATGCGGTTCTCATAAAGATAAAAATAAGAGCATGCATACATAAGCAAACACAATCTCCTTTCTTCCTCTTACCCTGTGTGATAAGGGCCAGTGGGAAACAAAGCAGTGATCTACATATGTGTGAAATCAATTAATCATATACCAGCAGGAGACGTTCTTGGTCAGTTTAAGAAGAGCTATCTGTGTATTTAGGTGCATACACATGTTGTAATTTTAATTATATACATGGTCAATGAGGTGAATGTGAACATGTGTTTTTTCTAATCAGATCTCCGGCCTCACCTTTTGAAATCCCCTGGTGCTATTAACAGGAATTATTAAGTGCCAGGAAATATTTTTCTACAGAATATCTTATCTTTCGAGTTTCTCGACATGGCACACCTACAGTCACCAATAGATTGTGGCTTTATCTGAATTCACGTGGAGAGAACGAGACAATGTGGTCACATTCAAATGGTATTATGCATGAACAGCACCCTCTGCTGGAAGAAGGGAAAATATCAAGTCAATAAGGATCCCAATGTGTTAAGGCAGACAAGAAGATGTTTGTAGTCATATTCAAAAATATGTCATTTCTTTTAGGGTTAATTGATTCCTAACATGTAAACCGACAACTTTGAAATCATGTAACAACTATGTCTTGTAGTGTGACTAAAATAATAGTAATCTAAATAAAAACTATTATATATATATATATATATATATATATATATATATATATATATATATATATATATATAGTACAATTAGCTCTGTAATTCCCAATACCAATACCAGTAATATTTACCTCATTTTACATGGGCTGGTTATTGTTAAACTGAATATGAAACGACATTTTATGTTGTTTTTAGAGCAGTAAAGAGACAACACAAACACATTTAGTTTGAAAGGCCACTGAAATTAAACTGTGTAGAGTTTCAATTGTCATGGAAGTTGAGTTGTTTTTTCATTTTCGGGTGAGCTATTCCTTTAAATGCTTCCATATTTTACTACTTTTGTTACGTCAATGTTTGAGCCCTCCTCAGATCCATCAGAGCTAATAAACAAAGCTGGATTACCAACATACCACTCTGTGACAATTAGCTTGTGGTAATTTGATCAAGTGATTAATACAAACTAAATTGGCTCCTTCATTTTTGCCTAATATTGCAGTTTTGTTGTGGGGCAAAAATAAATAAATAAACAAACAAACTACAATTTAAAATTAAAATATATGACAAAGGATCTGTGCAGGCACTAACACTTTCTCTTTTTTCTTAGTATACAGTTTTTCTTAGTTGCTTTGGTGCATTTCTCAGATCAGAATTGAAATTCTCAAAACTAATCCACATCATCTCATCACTTGTGCACATCATAAAAGCGCTTTCTCATTGTTTTGAAAAAAAAATGCAAATGACTTGACACTGATGCAAATGATTATGTACAATTGTCTGCTGTTTCCTACATTATCAATTGCTTGTGTCATGCTGATCACAATGAATTATACCGGTTCTCTGTTGAATAATCTTACCCCCCAAAAAATCTAGGCACAATTTCATTGCATTAGTCACTACATGCAAAATGGTTGAACACACTATCAAAAATAAAAGTTAAAATAAAAAAAATAAATCCTCTTCAGCAAAATTGTTATGAAGAGATTGAGGGGAATCCAATCACATGTTTCCCGACGGCTATTTCAAAGGTTCTGAAAGCCGTCAGGAAATGTGTAATGTTACATGGATTCCCCTGAAAGAGAAGGAATTTCCTCTGCCTGGGAATGATGGGGAAATGAAAAGTCCATAGGCTGGTGGATGTGGACCAAGAACGAGTCCAGCATGTGCTTTACAGTAATGTGAGCATGTGAAACAGTCTTTTCATAAGAACTTTGTTGAAGAGGATTATGAAAAATATAAAAAAGAAAAATTTAGTCTTCAGTGAGGATTGAACACACAACTTTAAGTCCTGTGCTCTACCAAGTGAGTTAACCAATGATACAACAACTTGCACTATAATTACCATTATGGTTATCTCGAAATCATGAGAAAATGATGAGTAAAAAAATATTTGATTAGGGCTTCTGTATATATATATGAATGTGCATGTCTATTAGAATTTATTTGTAAATGTGTCCTGAATTGATGAAGATATCTGTTGTGATGTGGAAGAGAATCTGTGATACAACAGACCGGAACTTCAGCCAAAGGGGTGTATCCCATGCAACAGTCCTGTCTCTTTCTTTTCTTTCTCACTCCTGCAATGTATAACTTTGTACTGGTGAAAGTGATATATGCCAAAAGAAAGTGCAGCCATGTGCATTTTCAATCATCAAAATCTTAGCCAAAGTGTACATCAGAAAATACTTTCAGACTACACTGTTATATTGACAAGATGGCTAAACATTTTGACTTGCTTGTTCATAAACAAGACACAAGGACTTGTCGTTCTGATGGCACTGACAAGTTCAATGACATAAAGATTTGCTTTTTGGAGATAGACTAAGGATTTTGAGCAAGGGAGCAGGTAAACCACTGTGTTTTGCCGTTTGTACTACCTGTTTCGAGAAATGTACTTACTGTTTTGCAAATGTTAAGGATGATTTGAGAAATGTACCAAAGCAACTGAGAAAAACTGTAAGTAAATTGTGCAACACAGGGGGGTGCTCATCTTTGCCAGGGGACCCATATCAGGTACAGTCTCAGTCCATTTTGCAATTAAGTCACCAGAAATACACAGTCAATGATATTGAACATGCATCCTAAGACAGAAACCAAGCAGAGGCATCCAATATGTCTCTGATCTCTGCTGAGACCAAATCTGCATAATCTATTTTGTTTCAGTGTCTCCGTATGCTGTTTTTAACTAATTGTACATCTAAATACAACTCAAAAATCTGAATTACAATATGTCTCAAGTGACACCAACAGCACTTGCTGAGTTTTCTCTTTTAACCACAAGATTGTACTTCCCATTATGCTCATGGAGGCCATTTTCAACAACATGATCCTGCAGATTTTTCATGGCAAAATTATTGATTTCCAGTATGTTCTCCCCTCAACCTCCCCATGGATGGACCCCACAGACATGGAGCCTGCTCAGTGAAGTGGATGCGCATTAGCATGGATTCACATGAGAGATGTTTGTTGTTAAACAGGCAGCAAAGAAATATTGCTTTAGTCCCCAAAGTAATGTAACTGGCAGAACAAGCTGTGCTGGAGCACGCACCCTTGGGTTGTCGATGTAACGTGCTACCATGAGAAAGCCATATGGCTTTTCCACATAGGCACGTGGAAGGGCAAAGAGGTGTGCTCTCCCTGCCTTATGGCTTTCCATGTAGGCACGTGGAAGGGTAGGGAGATCCCAGAACAGA